GCACTGGTACATAAACCAGGACAAGGTAGCACCTGGTTCCCTCGACAACATGCCTGAAAGTGACGCACTGAAAAGAATGTAAATAAATATAAAAAGTAATGACAAAGTAGCGGCTGCAAGAAAGAACCCTGATCATAAAAATCGGTCCCCTGATTCGCGCCTCTGAGTGACTCTGTCGACCTGAAAGGATTCACCAACAGCAGAAACAAGGGGAAAAAATAGTGTACTCCGCAAAGGTTTACTTCGCATGTGGAGGATCCTTTTAGGGAATAAGACTACCCATCTGTCACTTAAAACACAAGATCAGAGAAAGCTTACATCTTTAACGTTTGCAAGTAACTTTGTAACATACACAAGACATCTACTTCTCTCCAGTCTGTCAATGAAACACGAAACGTAATGTTCATGTTAAAATCCCTGACATTTTTTGTGTCAACATTATCATTATCAATATTACATTTATCCTCATCATTAATGTTATCATTGACATCATCATCATCCTTACTATTATTATTAACATCATTTTTATTAGTTATCATTATCAACACAATTGTTGTTATCCTCGTTATTATTATTATTACCGTAATTATTATCCTTATCATTAGTTTTATTATGATCATCATTGTTGTTATTATTATCGTTATCATTATATTCATTATTATTATTATTATTATTATCATTATTATTATTTTATTACTATTATTATCATTATTATTATCATCATAATTATCATTATTGTTTTCATCATTACCATTACTATTATTATCGTTATTGTTATTATTATTATTATTGTTATTATTATTATTATCATAATCATGGTAGTTATTATTGTTATTTCATCATTATTATTATCATTTCCCTTGTTATTACTATCATTATTGATATCATTACTATCAATATCGTTATCATCATTATAGTTACCGTTCTTATTATCAATACATTTATCATTATTGTTATTATCATTATTATCATTATCTTATTATTATCATTATCATAATTATCCTTGGTTATCGTTATCATTATCATCATAATTGTTGTTACAACTATTGATATATTCACCATTTTTGACATAAGTGCCATTCCTATTACTAGTATAACCACGACACCCATTGTCTCATTACTCGTGAACCATCCTAATGAAAGCTTAGTTCCAGCTCACATTCGGTCGATGATCTTGACGACGCGGTGCTGGTAGGCCTTCTTGTGCAGCATCATCCTGGCGTGGTTCATCTCGTACAGGTTCTCCGCCTCCGACTCCTTGAAGACGATCTGCCACTCGCCCTCGACCTCGGCCGCCCTGGAGAAGTGAACCAGCCTCTCGTACTCGAAAGTCACCTGAGGGCAGAGGACGACCGTGACCCGACTTACTTTCTCCCTGACCTTTCCCTGCGACCTTGTTTTCTGTCTCCACTAGGCTCAGATCCCTTCTGCCTCTGCTCGAGAGTTCAGAAGTCGCGGTTGAAATAATATTTCTTCCAATTTCTCTATTGATTCTCTCAGCAGCACAAGTAAACTATTAAGAACAAATCACCAAGAACATCGCTTGTCAGCGAAGTGGAAACCTAAACCCAAAGCGGATGCCAGGACGAGAGGGAGTGGCTGGAGCCGACGGTGGGGCACGCGGGTGGCTCACCCCAGGCAGGCCGCTGCCACGCATGCCAGGGCCCCGCCGGCCACGGCTCCCGCCAGCCCCGCCCGAGGCACTTCCTCGGGCCGGTCGCCCCCGCCGGCGCACTCACGTTGATGCCGAGGCCGTGGCAGTCCCTGAGGAAGTAGTCCCACTTGTCCACGTCGGCGCCCGTCCTCTTGTTGTTAACGATCTGAGGGCGAGATTGCGGCTAGTAAAGGACACTTCTAGTTGAGGCAAAAACGGTGGAATATCTCCCATCAATCCTTTCCTGATGTTGCGGTTCATGCTGATGCAAATTGTGATGATGATACGAATATAGCAATGATGACTGCGATGATATAAAGGATTCACGTTGACAGACAGACAGGCCGACAGACAGATCGACAGAGAGAGAGAGAGAGAGAGAGAGAGAGAGAGAGAGAGAGAGAGAGAGAGAGAGAGAGAGAGAGAGAGAGAGGCAAGCCGACAGACAGACCAACAGACAGACAGACAGACAGAATGAGAGAAAGAGAGAGAGAGAGGGAGAGGGAGAGAGAGAGAGAGAGAGAGAGAGGGCGAGAGAGCAAGAGCGAAAGAGAGAGAGAGAGAGAAAGACAGAGAGAGAGAGAGAGAGAGAGCGAGAGAGAGAGAGAGCGAGAGAGAGAGAGAGAGCGAGAGAGAGAGAGAGAGAGAGAGAGAGAGATCGGCCCACCTCGAAAAGGAAAGCCTTGGCTGCTGTTCTCCCGTTTTCTTCAACTGAAGGCTTTGCTCCAACGATGAGATCCTTGATAAACCGAACGTCTTTCTCGTCCAGCCCTGCTCTTCTAAAATCCTGCATGATGTTGTTCTCGCTGAGGAGGTGGTCGAACATCTTACAGGACATCTCTTCATGCTGTAAAAAGAAAAAAAGGAAAAGACGTGGCGTCATCATACTGCTTACTTACAGGGAAAAGGGAGCAATGGACTTTATTTTTGATTTATTATTCTTTAGGAACCACTTCTTGCAAGCTTTGCAACCAACCTTGAAGCTCTTCCCGGATTCCTTCATGAACGTCTCGAAGACGTGGCTGAAGGCGCCGTGGCCGAGGTCGTGGCAGAGGCCCGCGATCTGAACACACAAAACGTCCGCCTCAGTTATTCCGAGTTCCTCCTGGCGGCTTCGAAGGGCATTCACCATCTTCCCCGCCAGATAACATGTCCTGAAATATCAAATGCCACAATTATCCTAAACATCTTATTTGTTAATGGTGCTAGGTGTGGCATTACTTTCGCCATATGCATTCAAATGACCATTTTTTAAAGACAGATGGTGAATTTGTATTAGGATATTCCAGGGAAATTGTTTCCCGTGTTTTGTTTAAATTCCACTCATTGTCTAATGTAAAACTAATTCGAAACTTTAGCCACTAGTTATTAATATACGTGATAAACTTTTCTGACATTATGAAATAAGCATTGCCATGAAATACAGCATTTATTTTGTGTATTTCCCTCTTAAAGTTGAATTGAACATTTACTGATTAGATGCATGCATATGATTGTGTAACTCAAGCCTTAACAATTCCATAATTTTCGCTCCAATCCTGACATTGCTTTGTAAGCTACAATTTATTTAATCTTTCATGTTAATCCGTGATATTCCCATAGTTTCCATTATCATTGTTTCGTTATCTAAAACGTGTGTGCAACTGTTATACTTGACGTGAAGATGTGGGCTTGCTCATTATTTCAATGGTTTGATAACTGGCGAACTCACCCAACACAGTGTTCGAAACGGTTGTGAGACGCCGCAGGATATACCAATGAGGCCGTGCCAAGCTGCTTCAGAAACCTAAAATAATCAAGTAATTGTAAATTATATTTCCTAAAAGCTGATTTACTGGCAAGGTCAGAATCAATAAGAATTGCTAAATTTTAGATATAAACAGTGAACTCGTTGCTGTGATGCTACCTTAGTCTCTGAAACTGCGGCGTGTCAATGATTCGAACACAGAGGCCAGGGATCTCAATGTATCCGTGGATAGCATCTTTGATGATCTTACTCCCGCCCTGAAAGACGCATTTACACTATCACATTCCTTCCTTTTGAAGTGCAAGCTATCCACTCCCCTCCTTGGCTAGGTACAAACGTGTTTCTTTTCTGGCAAGTGGTTGAGTATGGATAATAGTAAATGTGACTTTTAAAAAAATTAAAAAAGGGATTTTATTTGTTATGTGGCTTAGATAGATTAATGTCCACATTACTCTTCTATAGATGTTGACGACATGGGTCTCTAATGTGTACTCCAAGTGTTTGGTCTGGTGTAGCAGTCTTCTAATTTTATGGAAGTGTTTGCAGGAGTTTGGCGACTACCTATGGAAATACATTGTGTTTTATTTGAATTTGTGTTGAGGTCATTTATGCCAAACCATTCATTTATCTGTGCCAGTGTTTCTTGGGTCATTTGAATCATTTTCGTATTGAATAAGTTGGCAAATATTGATCCTTGTGAAAAGATCTACTTTGTTTACATATTTTCACGAACTTTGACTGTTTGGGATCTATTAGTTGAATAACTTCTTAATCAATATGTATCGATTTGTTATAAATTATGAATTAATCTACTAATAAGGATTTCGTGGTTGACACTATCGAAAGCCTTGGTCCCGCAATGTAAGCAAGTTTATTATGTTGTTGTCTATAATCTCATAATTTTTTGTGAGCTGTAAGAATGCTGTTTCAATCACTTTGTATTCTACGATATTTTCGAGAACTTTAGACAGTATAAGGATTAAGGTAATACAGTGATGAAAACTGTTATTATATTGCCATATTTTCAAAGCGATGGGAAGTCACCCGTGAATAGATATGTATTAATGATAACCGTTAGATAATACGCCATTGCAAGTAGACTGGCTCTGATAAAGGGAAAAGCAATGTCATCCACTCCCACAGCATGTTTCACGTATGTATTTTACTGCAATGATTACTGTTTCTATTTTTACTTGTATTTTGTTAAGATGTGGAAGCTGGTGTTTGTCCATATGTTAGATTTCCAATTTTAACTTTGAGTTGGGCTTATTTAAATCATCATATAGATCACCTAGGATGAAAGAGGTTTCTTTTTCAGTGACATTTCTCTAAAACCTTTTTCAAGATAATCAGAAGATTCAGAGGAATTGGAGGCACATTGACTTGCACGGTAAGCCAGACATTCTCTACATCTGCACTCTTAGCACTTACACCTCACTGGTTTTGGGAGTACCACGCACAGATACAGAAGTCGATATCAATAGCTACAAATGGATAAAAGACAAAGGAATGCATTACCATATCTTGGTGTTTTTTGATGCTCGACCAGGGACGTTCACCTGATAACAACCTGCAGAGAAATTGAATGTGAGAGATAAGAGTGTGGGTGGACATGCGACCACAAATCACTGACAGCTATTTTAAAACTTATCACCAATTCTCTCGCAGTGTATCACAAATAACGACTTTCACTTTTTGTACACTTTCCTTATAGAAAATAAGACAAATTCAATATACCATCCTCTTATCGAGAAGAAAGTGAATCTGTATAAGCATAGACTCTTAGTGAAATATTAATAACAGTAATTGTAAAGTAGTCTGAAAGTCCATCCTCACAAATCTGATTCTTTTCCTGAAATCTCCCGTAATATACTCTCATCTGCTCATCATCCTAAGAGTTCATGATAATGTACCTTCATACTTTGGTTCTCTTATAAAAAGAAATCGACTCTTAATTCTCGTCTTTCCAATCCACTTTTGATTTACCCTAAAAGCTGTTCGTCTAATATGTGTGTGTGTATCTGTGTATGTGCGTGTGTGTGTGTGTGTGTGTCTGTGTCTGTGTGTATGTGTGTGTGTGTGTATGTGTCTGTGTGTGTATGTGTGTGTGTGTGTGTGTGTGTGTGTGTGTGTGTGTGTGTGTGTGTGTGTGTATGTGTGTGTGTGTGTGTCTGTGTTTGTGTGTGTGTGTGTGTTTGTGTGTGTGTGTGTGTGTGTGACGGAGCAAATAAACAGTGTCAACTTTGTGCCACATCCCTTTTCTGCAAAACTACACCAAAGGTTCTACTGGCTCTTTGTTGCTTGTCTAAGTTTGGAAAATGCTGGACGTGTTAATTAAGCATAAATGAAGGCAATTGAAATAAGAATACTTTACATAAATGAAGCTGAAATAACCTAAATTTAAGTTTTTACTGTACTTTTACTGATCTTTTAGCGCACGTTTGGTATTTTATCTTTACTTTCTTTACTATCACTACAGTGGAAGGACACTAGAGGAGGATAAAAGCAGAATTGTTAGATCTTTTCAAAGGAATTATTGTCTCATTACAAGAGGAGTGAACAGAACCTTTAACTTTATTTCTCACCTGGTTCCTAAGCCTCTTCTGCCTCACGGGAGATTTTATTTCGGTTTCCGCTCAAGATTTGTTCAGAGTCACTCTCTCTCTCTCTCTCTTTCTCTCTCTCTGTATCTTACTTTCTCTCTAACCCTCCTCTCTCTCTCTCTGTTTATTCTCTCTCATGCTCTCTCATTCTTTCTCTCCTTCTTCCCCTCCTCCCTCTCTCTCTCTATCTCTCATAAAGTACAAAAAACGATCAGCACTTATTCGTTGTGTTGCCATGGTGGGTTTTCGTAAAATGGCATTTGTTTTCATTCCCGCTATGTAGGTCAGAACTCATACCCTGAATGGCATTTATACACATCTTTTGATTGTAGGCTATTAAGGACATATAATTTCTTTTTTTTTATCGGCTTAATATAAGCATGCTTATTTAGCTTAATTCGCTTTACAAGATTTCTCTTAAAATTCATAATATCCATTACTATTACATCCATAATACATATTTAAATTTTATATACACACACGCTATTGACAATATACAAAATCGAAGAAATGAATTGATGTGTTTAAGAGGAAAAGTTTCAGAATATTCCCAATGACTATCGTGTTCACGGTTGTTTCTTTGACCTCTAGATATAGAATGATCTAGAAATATATTTAATGCATCTCTTCTAGAACCTATAAGCACGGCCTCTACTAACGAATTTGAATAACATCAATATGCGATGAAAACAAGCTTTAAACTAAATGGAACCTGCTATTCATCTTTTGAATCTGAAAAGGACATACTAAATACAGCAATCTATAGAAAATATGAAACTGGTACAGTTGAATGAATGTAATCTAACCAACGTAAGATGTAAAAATACATTTCATTATGCAGAAAGAGAACTTGAAAACCTATTACTGTTTTAATTAGAAATAACGTTTTTGTAAATTATTAATTAACCCATCGCCGCCGGGGAAAATTAAAAAAAAATGGGGGAAATGCAGTACTCATTTTTTTATATTTTTGTGAAATATATCTGTCCATAGATGGCTCTGCTAGTCCTGATTTCACCTTTCCTTGAATTGGCGGGAAAAAAACGTATTTTTAATAGTGCTATAAATATAGGTGGTGTTATTTTTAACACCAAATTAGGATAACGTTAAATATTTTCGTAAATCGATGAAAAGGGTGAACGGGCGAGACAGGCAGTACTCGTAATTGGCTCATTGGATACTTAGTACAAGTGTAGCCATCTATGTGTAAAAACAATCGAACAAGTCAACTCACAGTGTGCGTACATGCCATCCCCGGCGGCAATGGGTTAAGATCATTATCAAAACTCATCAGGATTCTCCCGCGCGGTTACTACTACTAAATAATTATCACGAAATTTATCATTATTCAGTTACTTTTATGGATAAAATGATCAGGCCCATCAAAATCATTATTATTATCGAAATTATATTCATTGTCAAAAATATTATTTATCATCATTATCCGAAAAAGCATTATCAAGACTATCATGTTTGTCAAAAATAATTATTGTCTTTATAGAAATCATCACTTAACAAAATGTGCACAGAAATAAAGTCCTCCTTTTACCAACTGAGGGTATGTGATGAGATACATTCTAGTAACCTCGTATGATTTAACGTATGTAAAACCCAAGGTCGTATAATGTATGAATCTGCAGCTGGATCACACCGGGATAAACTGAAAAAAAATAAGAATAAAAATTCACGAGAGAAAATATATCACCTTGGCTCCCGTGAGCGAATGATCGAGCAGACAGTGATGGTCACTTTGTATACTGATGGTACATAACAAAAAAAGAAAGCTGTGATATCGTTATCTCTTATATTGTTGTTTCTGTAAGTGTTATCAATTTGCTGCATATACGAATAATGCACATGTACATGTACATTACACGGTACATCTTTGATATAGAAAAAAAAAAATAATAAAAAAAAAAAAAAAAAAAAAAAAAAAAAAAAAAAATATATATATATATATATATATATATATATATATATATAGTTATATAGTTATATTCATTATATATATAATGTATATATTATATATATGATATATATATTATATATATATATTATATACATATAATATATATATTATATATATATTATATACATATAATATACATATATATATATATATATATATATATATATATATATATATATATATATATATATATTATACATATAATATACATATAATATACATATATATATATATATATATATATATATATATATATATATGTGTGTGTGTGTGTGTGTGTGTGTGTGTGTGTGTGTGTGTGTGTGTGTGTGTGTGATGAGATATGCTGTCATCATAGTATTCTACAAATTACATAAATTACCTAATCAGCAGTGCACATCTCCCTTCAAAGACGGGACCCTTATATAGTTGAATAGACTGAGAAATTATTATAAAAATGCTAGTTCTACGGTATGCATCCTTCCCAAGTTCAAATTGGAAATGTGGAAAGTTCATCAGGCTACGCTGTAAGACATCCCACGGATAAACAACCAGTACGAGTCACGGAGTTCGAAATACTATCATGTTAGCCATTGGCATCCGGCTGTATGCTATCGTGGAGACTACCGTCCTCCAAGACAGTGCTGTGAACCTGCCAAAGAAGACGAGGAGACTATCAAAATCTATAGACTTGTTTGCACAACTTGTGCACAGCCTGCGATGCTTAATGTTCTTTGTCATAAGTTTTAATGAGTGGTTTGTTCATTCCATACAAAACCTCTGAATTCTGTTTGAAACTTCTTCATATCACATTTTTTCTGTTTTCCTGTGTCTGATATCCCAGGGAACACTACATTCGTATTCCTATGTTTGTATATAGGTACTGAAAATTCTTATTCAAATTTGTATATATTGAAAAATAGATTAAAGATATATATACTTGGGGGAGTGTCATCCAAGAGATATTAGCACGGTTTCTACGAGGCCCCCCGTAGGGACCATGCTTCTTTTGTCGAGCCGTTACTGCTGGTTTATTCTAAATTTAGCTAAGCATCTAATTTTCTTTTAAACACCTTCACAGAGGAACGATCCATGCTTCTGCTATTCTTCAGCACACTATTAACCAGCTTTAACCAACTTTGATTTTCCATTTTCCATAGTAAGGATATTTGAGCACTTATCACAGTGCGGTGGCATGTTCTTCCATGTCTGAAGATATGATCTATTTGGAGTGCTATGTTTTCTGTTATTTCCAATGAGAAAGGACTACCATGTTGTCTAATTTTCGAGCGAAATTTCTTTGAACCCGTTTCAGGAATACTGTATCTTCTCTGATTCTAATATCACACTGATTCTCCATATGTGGAAGCACTAGAAATGGTAAGATATCCTGTTTCGAAAGTCCTCATCGCCAGTCCACTTCCAAAACATAAGCGCCGGCTAAATATGATGACTGAAGCTCATTCTATTACTGTAAACATACCTAGGTTCAGTTAGGTTACTAACTTAATCCCATAACTAATAGGTAATTTTTGTTTCCCACAGCCATTCAACCTTTTGTTTCAATTACTTGCTGTCGTTTTCCGTCGCATATGACCGGTTCAGGAAATAAGTGAAGTATTTGTCTCTCAAAACATGCTGCTGAAATAGGTTACGAAATATTGTTCCGAACCCTTGGTATGCACGATGAGAGAGATTTTTTTTTTTATATAGCAATCCTTCATTTAAAACAAAATGGTGAGAGAATCATGCTTCACCTTTATTTTATAATTGGGCCGTTCATAAAGTAAGAAATGCATGAATATTGGAGAACTAACGATGTACTTTGTAAATTGCGCTACATGAAAGGTCGAGCCATTTCGTTCAAGTACATTTAATTTTCTCTGTCACTGAAATAAGCAAATGATAAATAATAATATGTATATACTATCTTCTGATAATATATACATTAGGTTCATTAAACCTAAGCAAACCTCTATGTCCCAAAAAGCGTGTGTGGGTCGAGCTACGAGAAAACTATCCTTTTTCTGGGGTAACTAAATCATGTTACATATCTTCTCCTTCACGTTAATACTTATATAAGCACCGATATTGAACCGAAATCTAGAGCTGTATTAGTACAGTTACGTTATGGAAACTACACATTCTGCCCGAATGTAGAAAATTGTCATGTAATTCCTTAGACAGTTTGGCTTAGCCAGAGCCTCGAAGGGCGAGGTAGTCCGTGGCCTTTTGCCAAAGTGCAAACAGACAAAATTGCTAGTCATTTAATTTTGGCATTGTCAGTTTATGCATCTATAGAACTTGTGATGATTATGTCAGATAAGTCTTTTAAGAGTTCACTGATCTATCAATTCCATGCACACTTAACAGTCTCTACCTATAAGTTTACGAGAATTTGTTTCTATTTTATTGATGCTGTGTGTGTGTGTGTGTGTGTGTGTGTGTGTGTGTGTGTGTGTGTGTGTGTGTGTGTGTGTGTGTGTGTGTGTGTGTGTGTGTGTGTGTGTGTGTGTGTGTATCAGTAATATCATAGTCTTCCCTGAAATGTAGCAATATAGTTCCCCCTCCAAATATGCCTACTCAAGAACTTTTGATCTACTTTTATTTCTTTCCCGTACTATAAGTAATATTCATATGTATACTTTGTAAAGTTTACTATTTTTATGTTTAAATGCCAAATGCTTGTTTATTTACACAGTTGTGTTCTGTCTTACTTGAACGCCTGTTGTTTGAAGAGGCATTATCCAATGCGGATTGACGCTTTGTATGAATTTATGAATGAATGTGCATGCGTTATAAGGACACTTTTGTTAAACCTGCTCTTGCGGCGAAGTTATTTTAGTTTTTTCTTTTTGTATTAAGTTTTGATGGTATGTAGGAACAGTAATTTATAGTGCAGGGTTTTTGTTTTGATGCAATTTAGGTATATCAGTGTGCCCATTATTATTATCATTATCTTTTTTTTTTTTTTTTTTTTTTTCAAATGTTATCCACGTGTGCCTCAAAAGTCACGTATTTGCCTATGTGTACTCTTAGATTTTTAACTGAAATGCTTGATTTAATAAGGCAGCCTTCAAATTTCATGATTGTATTGTGGGGATTTTGATGTTTTGTCCGTTTTCATCACCATTAAGAATAAATTTAAGATATTAGAGCCGGATAAAGTAGGAACGACAGTTCAAAATACTACAATATAAAGGTCACAAATAAGAAAAAAGTAAAAATAAACGTAATTACACAAGTAATATTTACCAAGAACCCTCCTAAAATCTTACTGTAGTAGGTAGGTGTGATTAAACACACAGGATTACAACGGAAATTGTTGTATGATTGTTGTAATTCTTGATAGTGTACTGATTCAGAAATGAGTTGTAAGTGTTGAATGATATGATCAGATCTCAGAATCTAATTTCTAATGGTAGGCCCATTCCTATAGACTTTGCCAGAGTTTTTAAGAACGTACAAACACGTGTGATGTAAATCCAACACACCAAGTATTATTAGAACAAGGGGAATAAAATGAGTGTACGATACTTGAACATAATTCTGAAGAAAACGGTGCTCACTTATATAGTGATGATAGTGCACTTTTTGTGAGAACTATTTATGTTTTGACTTTTAGAGAGTGACTGCTTCAGTATCTCAAGTAGTTGTTACATAAGGAGTAGCATGGCGTCCAGATGATGAAAAGAAATGCGTGTTTACACATTTTAAAAATGTAGCCACGATAGAAACAGAACCAAAATTTGATGTTTGATTCATGTCCAAATTATAACTTCAGCATACTTGGCTTCTTAAAAAAAAAAATAATAATAATAATAGCGCATTTCCTTAACCATGAACTTCTCAAGGTCAATAACTTTTTTCAGTATTGAATTTTTTTTCACTTTATGCTCTATACATTAAATTGGATATGCTAGTAAATTGAATATCAGTTAGTAAACCGCATCCAATCTTCGTTTCCTTCCATGGGGGTCTCTCATGGTAGTCCCTCGCTACAGGTCTGGTCGAGCTGCTCAAGCCACGACTTCCTAGGTCGACCCAATGGCCTCCTCCACCCAGAATTGTCTCGTAAAGAGACAGCCTGATGGGCAGGGTTATCCACAGGGAAACAAGCTAGGTTCCCGTATAGCCCGAGTTGGTGGTCCTGTATAATGCAAGTAACAGGTCCCATGTCAGTCTCACGGTTTAGCCGTCGGTTAGTCACATGGTCCTGCTAACTGTACATATCATGCGGCATAGGGACAAAAGCATCAACGCGAGACTCCAAGGCAGTAGATAGTGTCCAGGTTTCGCACCCATAGAAAAAAAACTGGCAGAATCAAGGCCTTAAAGACATGTAACTTGGTCTTGCATGGGTACTAACATTTCCAAGTGCTCTTGTTGAATGAGTTTGTGGCTCCTGATGCCAGACCAATCCGTCTACTGAATTACTGGACTGACTTCCTGCTACCAAGGTGTTTAGAACACTCTGTGACTTCAGTGTCCTCACAGCAAGCATGTATTGACTGAACAGGATCCCCTAACATGCTCCCAAAATCCTGAATCTTGGTCGTCAAAAAGTTTGGGTAGTAGCACTGCCCAATATCCAGTCCATGCCTTTTCATAGGTCCTTTTGGTGCTACATTTTATATACTCCCATTTTCTATTTTAGTTTTGTTTTAACGTTTATATAATTACTTGTGTGTTTTTATTTTTTATAATTTTATTTATTTATTTATTTTTAAACGATCCAAAACATTTCAAAGAATTTATATATAATTCTTAACCCCTTGGTGCCGGGTATGACGTGTACGTACGTGCTATGCCCACAGTGAGTACTTGTTTGATTGTTTTTACGCATAGATGGCAACACTTGTACTAAATCACCAATGAGCCAGTTACGAGCACCGCCTGTCTCGCCCGTTTACCCGTTTCTTTGATTTACAAAAT